AGTAGCCCTCAATAATCACTAAAACTAAACACCCCTCCCCTAATTTATTACTACAGGCTGCCAATCTACGCAAGAAAATGAACGTGAATAACACGGAGCAGGATTTTGGCCACGCCAAACCCGATTCTGACGCTATGCACCCAAAGAATAAGGACAGGGCCGACAGACCAGGGCTAACCTCTTATCTGCGTGCCAAATTGGACAGCAAGAAGCGGCACGGCATGGTTGGGTCATCACAAACGGTGTGTACCTGAACCTATCGCGTTGAAGCTCTTCAATTGAGTGTATGTTGCGAGCTCGAGGGGTGAAGATTGCTTATAGTATGTATAGTATAAACACACTTTTGGTATATATACTACATGCACACTTATAGTGTATATACTATATGCACGCTTAGAGTATATATACTACATGCACACGTATAGTGTATACACTATATGCACGCTTAGAGTATATATACTACATGCACACTTATAGTGTATATAATATATGCACGCTTAGAGTATATATACTACATTGGTTTGTGTCCTATACGTAGAAAAGCTTTATACTCATAGAAATGTCAGTACATTTGCGCATCATAGAACATGTGTGTGCGAGGTGTAGTGTATTAATGTGTGCGCAGAAAGTCCGTTTCGATGAAATTGTGATATGTTTGATATGTGTGACATATGTGATATGTGTAGCATATCAAATGCGCTTGGCCTGTGTGTAAATGTGCGATTCCCGGAAGACTTGGGTGTGATGCGTATGGTCTACGAATGTGCCCTTTGCAAACTATTTATACAATGCGAGCATTGTAGAACACTTGTGTGTTGCACGAAACTATCCACAACATACTCACCGAAATAAATGGATGGTATGCATTGCACCAAAATGTATGGATGATATATGTATCACACCAAAATGTATGGATGATATATGTATCACACCAAAATGTATGGATGTTATTTGTATCACACCAAAATGTATAGATGTTATTTGAATCACACCAAAATATATGGATGATATATATATCACACCAGAATATAGGGATGATATATATATCACACCAGAATATAGAGATGATATATTTATCATACCAAAATGTATGGATGATATTTATATCACACCAAAATATATGGATGATATATAGATCACACCAAAATTTATGGAAGGTATTTATATCACACCAAAATGAATGGATGATATTTAATTC